GGTGCAAACACTTCTTAGCAAATATCTTTGGAGTCCTACTAAGTATTGTGACTACTGTGGTTAACATCTTTTCTACAGTATATTTCAACATGTCTTTATTTTCTTCAGCAATATAATTATCTTCATGAGTTCCGGGACACACTAGCTGCACATCTGTCATCAAGAGAGTCACTATCAAGATCTGTATCCAGATAAAAAGAAAAACTTCAAATAGCATATACATGACCATGTCTGAAACGTTAAGAGTTCGCTGACATGTTTACCGAAATGAAATAACTAGTGTTATCGTGATTGTAAATGTCTATGTGCAGATATTCCCTAAAGCTTTTACTGAACAATTTCATTGTCTCTCTCATGTTTATTAGATAGAAAAACTGCCATACAATTTTCCTTTTTAGAAGTATACTTACCGCTCTGATATATTTATGGAGATAATGCTGAAAACAGCATATGGAAAACTATTTGATCGCATTATTACTATCTACCACACTTTTATTTTATTAGAACTACTAGGTAGCATAAGACAGTAACAAGGATGAAAACTGGTGTTCAGCTATCCAAGGTAAAATTATTTAAATAACTTGACACTGTATCCCTCCCACAATTTCATCCAGTTTTTTCTACTTTAAAGATTCATAGAATTGTGAACGATCCTATGGAATCTTCTAGCCTTCTTCCTCCCAAAACTGTATCATCCCAAACAGGTGTTTTCCCAGCACTTGCTGGAACATTTTCAGAGGTATGGAATTCATTGGTTCAGACAACTGCTGCTTTTAAAGCTTTCATTTTTTTCCTTCACCTTAGGGACAAGGAATGAATTTAATCCCTTTTATATTTATTTTAGAAAGCACTTACTTACCAATTAGCAAACTCCAGTTCTCTTATTCTTTTACCTTACCCTGTGCTACTGAGCATGGCCTTTTGTCTTGAAGTTCAACCATGCGCTACTAAAAGGAGTCATCTGCAGTGTAGATAAAGATCACGCAATGAGTCAAAGCCACCTGTTTTAACAGACACCAGTGGTTTTAGGGGCCTGCACAGTAGTCCCCTGCTCTCTTGGCAACCGAGGATCACAAGTGGGAATCCCTGGCCATTTGACTTCCAGTTTATAGACACCACAGTAAGCTTCACCACCTCAGAACTTAGTTTTAAATAATTACATTACCAAAACTTTGATTTGTCTTATTCTTCTTACTACTGATGAACTATTTTAACTTCATTTGGGTATACTTTTTAAAAATGACAAGTATTGACTGGGAACGTCAGAAGAGAAAGTCAGTAGGTACTATAATATACAATCAGTATTTTAATATCTTCATGTATACATTGTTTCTAGAACTTAATGATTTTAGAAAAACACTAAAAAAGATGGGAGAAAACCTCACACCAGTTTCTGAATCCCTTAAACTAAGGGAATACCAAAAGCAAAAGTTATTATAGTGTTGGTATTAAAACCAGATAAACTTTAAATCACGATGTACAATCAAATTTTAGAAATCACTGTAATTAACATTACCAAATCTTATGTTAGCTTTCACCCAATATTAATATATAGCTTATTCATGAATACTAGAGAAAATAAGGGGAAATATTAGTATGGATTAATCAAATCCTTTAATAAGTGTGTGCATCTCAGTTTCCACTGCAAATTAAGTCTCCCACATTTAAATGCTTGACTAAACTACTTCCATACTAAGTCTAATGAAAGACATTGATTACTCTGTACAGAGAAGCACGGATGGTCACTACTGAAATTATCCAATTAAATTAAAAAACTGTCAATTTTTTTTTAATGTCAACTTTCTTGAACAAATATTTTCTCTGCCTGAACTGTGGGACAGCACTCAAAACAATGGGCCTAGGGAGGCAGAGACACAATGTAGAGTCCTGGTCTTAGACAAGCCATAGTTGTTGAAATTCAATCAGCACAATTAACCGTTATCCATAAACTACAGAAGGCATCAGACAGTTTTTATTAAACAAAAGCAAAATAAATAAAGCAAGATCTACAAAGCTAGGACTACTGAAGGACATTTCCTTTGGACAAGTGTGTGTCAGCACCATTAAGGTCAACTTGATTTCAGAAAATCATGAGCACAGCCAACTACATTCCTTGTTTCTCATAGTAGTTTTAGTGTCCACCTAGTCATCAATCTAGTAATTCAGGTTATTTTTCTTCTCCAGAATACATGAACATGGTGACCAAAAAAAATTAAATGTTTAGAAAAAGCATTGTACAATAAAATTAACTTTTGCATGTTTACATGTCTTCACGTTCCCAATTTGTATTAACAAAGTGATAAAACTTTCACTCCAATCCCACTGCCCAGCCCCCTTAAATGGTTAATAGTATTGTCCCAAACCAAGCAAAACAAGCAGCAGGACTTACTTTTAAACATTTTTGCATGAGAACTCTAATTCTAGTTCAATTAAAATTATCCTAAAAACTGTTTGACAGATCCAGAAACGTATGTTTTCTCTTGGCATCACCCTGGAGTATTCTGAGCATACTACTAGTACCAGACTCCAGCTGCTGCTCAAGGATTGATTTGAGCACATTTGAGACTAACGACAGTTTTCCAAAAGTATGACTATCAGTACTTTCACAAACAATACTAGATATGGTTATCAGTACAACTCATTATTTCGAGAGAAGTACATTTCTGGGTGTTAAATGATGTAAGCTAGATGTATACCTCTAGACAGATTTGAATGGGTTCAATGTATCAAATTGCTATGGCATAGTAGCCATGCTGAAATTACTGTCTACCCCTGCAGGGTGTAAACGATACACAGAGATCATCATTTGTATAGTGTCAGTATATTCCAAGAATGCTAGTAATAAACAGGTAACTGGAGGAAAGGAGTTGTCCTAAGGAAAATATTTCAAAGTGTATCTACATATCTACTTCCTTTGTATGTAAGTAACTGACATTTCCAATATGTTGATTTGGGGAGCAGGGTAAAGCACTGAAAGCTATGAGCATGAGTGGTTCTTAAGCTGTAAAATACTGAACAAAATTTAAGAGACACTACAAACCATCACGTACGCTGATGCTTCATAAAAGATCATTTTCTGGCAAACTTTAATGGGGCTTCTCCAGTGTGTTAATATACACAACACATATGAAAGTGGATTATCTGATCTTTTCTATCACTTTTCCTTACTGTGGAAATAAAATTCAATTTTCAAACAAATTAGCAGCTTGTCTGTAGCCTGGGACCAAGCTCTTTTCTACTCATGGGCAGAGTGAGGAATGTCAAACACTGGACATCACCATACATCATTAATGAAATCTAAATATAGGCATTTAAATAAATTTCTACCACTATATCTCTTTAGTGCTAAAAAACAACAGCATATGTAGTATAATTACTTAATAGAAAAACTACTAAATGGACTCCATTTTCTATATAAAATTTGGGATTTGGGAGAATCTCTAGTAACCACAGGAACAAAAACTTGTGGGTATATATATATATAAACCAATGTATCACGCTACATTTTCTGAGCATTAGATGAAACACATAATATCAAAAATAAATACAAGGGGGAGGAGGACTTAAGTACACTGTTGTTGCTGCACAAGGAACAGTCTGACTTAAACTGTGAGAGATCACAAGCCAGGCTTACCATGCCTCAGCTGCACGGGCAGGAATAACATAAGGTCAGGCCTTAAACAGATTGTGGGAACAAACTAAATTCAGCGCAAGGGAAAGGGTAAGATACTATGAAATGCATACGTAATTTAACTTCAGGAAACACTGGAAAAGGGAAACATGAAGACGTTACACAAGTATTCAAACTTAATTACATGCCTAGAAACTATCAACCTACCACTGAGAGGGATGAGCCTCCCTGCCAACATCTTTGAGGAGTCAGCTAAGGAGTATGTATGTTCTAGTTTTTGAAGCGCGAGAAGGTGGCATTCATGTACAAAATGCAGCCAGTAAACCTTGCACTAACCCTGGGAAATACTCTGGAATACATTATTAAACCAATGTTTGTTTAAACTTTTAAAGGAACTTAGTATCTGCTAAGAGACAGCCAGAGTTCAGGAAAACACTGACAGAATACTAAAGCAACAGTCCCAAGAAGCCTACATGGAGCAAGGAAGACATGCACTTGTGAACCAGACAGAACAAGGATGATTAGAAACCAAGTAATTGTTTCCACTTAGAGCATGACTTCTGGTGCCTGGCTAGTGCCTGATGAGTAATTTACTACATAAACTGATGGATACACAGACCATTGGAAGGAGGTGTTCACCAAGCTAGCCAAGATCTTTAAAGTTTCTCTCATTAAATGATGACTCTCTTCATTCTTCTCTTTCCATACCCTCTTCTACAACACACTCAGCCCTTTTATCCAATAAACAAGTTAGCTATTCCCCAAAAGTGGGGAAGCATTTTGTTCACTATTAGAGAATAAAGCAGCATGGCATTTAAGAGTAAAATTTACAGAAATACATTTATAACCCCCCTTGATCATTATGTAGTATTCTATATGCTGGTTTTCTTTGATCTTCTGTTCAAGACTTAACTGCCTCATCCCAAACATCACAAAATTGCTTACAAAAACACGCACGCCATAACTTACCTGCCTTATAAGAAGCAGCACAAACTCATCTATACAAGCTTTCTGACTTTAAAATCTGCTTTACCATAATTCTTACTGTTTCAAAAAGGCAAAAAAAAAAATTACAATTATTGGCATTTTAAGTGCCAATAAATTTTTTAACTGATAAGAAAAATAATGATGCCATGCCATCAATACTTAAGATTCATGAATCTTGTGAAATGACAAGAGGGTGATGGTATTACCCAGTTACGATTTTCCTGGGTAGATCCAAGGATGGTATTTAAAAAAAAAAAAAAAAACCACAATGTGATACTCTACTAACTTTTTAAAAAATTGACAGTAATGTCTTTATTATGGATTAAGCAACTTTAAGAAATAGCTATTTGTAATCTTTAAAACAATGCACTGAAAATAAGTCTTAATTTCAGAGTTTTATTATATTGCACTAAAGGAACAGCAGGATGGTTATACAATGTTCTCTCTCACTCAGTTTTGAAAATCTAAAGGGCTTGCAAATTCTTAATACCTTTACCACCAGATCAGAATAATAGCCAATATCTTAATAAGTAATGTCTTACAAATTAAAACACATTTAAAATAGCTTTAAATGCATTCTTCACAAGTAATTCAGCATATATTTTTTATATCATGTTCACTTATGCTTAAGAATTAAAGTATTTTACTCTGATGGAAATATGGGAAATCTCTCATTCATGCAATATACAGGGATAATACTCAAGTCAAAGGGGAACAAAGTCCCACTCTTATTTTTGTAAATGTATCCATATATAATCATCTACATGATAGAAGAGGAAACCCATGAGTTTCCCACAGGTCAGATATATATTTTCAGTTCATCAGAAGCACCTGATATCTACAGCTAATTTATAATCAGATGGCATTTCAAAAAAACAAAATAAAGCCCTACAAGTTCCTATAAACAAAAGCTTCCAATGAGCTAAGGACTGTCAATAATTAATGCAATCATTCAAGGGATTATGGCTGTTCCTTTAAGGAGTGCAAGTTCAAACTGTCAACATCAGAGGTAATCATTTTATATTAATTTATACGTAATTCCATTTAAATTCTTTATCTGAGTATAACATATGAAAACAGTCTTTCCACAAGCAAAAAATGTGGAAACATTTAAAAAATAAGGAGTCATTTTTTAAAGTAACTGATCAGATTCCATAGGCTACTCTTGGAAACAGGGTCTTGCTGGATAGAATCCCTTCATTTGGTGGCGTTTTGCATGCACTTAACTGGACCAATTCTTCAGTGTGTTGTTCTAAGAGCTCACCAAAACATAGATCATGCTGAAAAGAAGAAAAAGACTGTTAATTCCAACATTCCCAATTATAAAAATTAAGAACACCAAAAAGCTAAGTCTTCTTTAGTTTGTGCTATTACACCATCATACAGAAGGCTGGTGGCAAGTTCAAAGTAGGAGCTCTGGTTCCGCCAACGGCAGGGCTCGGCTCCGTGCATGTGCTGTAGCTGCCCCATTTCCCTTCCAATTTTAGCAAGCGGAAGGGCACAGCTGAAAGCTTTATGGGGGAGTCAGCGCTCAGCAGCAAACCAGCTGCTGCCCTGCTGTGTCTAATAATAGGGGGGAGCATCTTGAGGGCCACGTCATGCCAGACTTTTTTATCTACATGACCTCACTGTATACGCCAAGCAGTCCTCAGAGGTAGGTACCATTATTATCACCACTTTAAGCATGAGTATGTTCGATTAGGGAACTTTCTCTTTAGAGAATGGTTCTAAGCAATAGCAGCAGGGCTAAAGAGGAAAAGGGTACAAATGAGCAAAATGAAAAAGCCAAGATCACAACCACCTGATTTAGGTTGCTTGGGAAACTCTACAGAAGGATGCAAGGAAAGCAAGTTGGAAAGTATCTACCTCTGAATGGAAACAGAAAGCGAGGAGACGGCTGACTAGGGAGACGGCTTGGAAACATGACAGGCCTGTGTCGCTATGCCTGGTGCGCACAAGTGCACATCTCCAGTCTTTTGTATAGTCAAGTCATATCATGTATTTCTTTTCTTTTAACAAATGTTTAAAGTAACTACTATATACCAATACTTCTTCAGACATGTTACTGAATCTTAAAAGACGAAAATTAGCAGGAAATTAGAATGACACTTGGAATTTCAGGTTTCAGAACTAATCACTGTCTGTTTCCTAGATGAGCAACACCTGTAGATACACTAATGCATACGCAGTTTCACAAGTATAACTTCTAAAAGCATAAAAACATCTTCACCCATTTCTAAATTCGAAATCTATAATATAAAGAAAAGCATATAATGTAATTCTTAGCAAACTTTTTAATGAAAAGTGAATGGAAACTTTTAACAATTTCATCTTGCACAAATTTTCTTCATATTTTAAAAATCTGGTGGAAAACCTCTCCAGTTGAATATGAATCAATAGACAGGAGAAAGTATACGTATATACTTGAAAAGAAATTTTAATTGCACACCTGAGTATCCTTTTCCAATTTTAATAAACAGTCACTATACTCCATCTACAGTTTACTTTGGAATAGTGGTTTACAGACAGAATCAACTCTTCCCCAGGGGCATCTAGCAACATCCAGAAACATTTTTGGTCATTAAACCTGGGAGAGGGGCTACAACTGGAACTTAGTGCTACACATCCCACAATGCACAGTACAGCTCCCCCCAACAAAGAACTAGGGGCACAAAATGTCAACAGTGCTGAGGCTGAGTCTGACCTGGCGGACCAATGATATGAGTCCACCGTGGCTTATGCAAAGGCAAAGAAGTCAGTAATTGCACCATCCTGTAACACTGAACAGTTTCATTCATCCCACTCTGATTAAGCCAGTCAGAGAATTAAGGGGAGAGCATACAGTTTATGAATAATAAAAAAGTAAACACAGCTAAGACAGACACTGAGCCAAGCAAAACATTTTTGCAAACTCACCCAGCCATATCCTCCCAATGCCATCTCTTTGCCATGGAGAATAAGGATTGTCCTTCTCTGCCTGGATGTGCCTAGTAACTTCAGATGCAGCAGCTCTGACCAAATTTTCTACCTCTGACCACATGCCAATGAGTTGCTCACCAAGCACTCACGTACTCATATTCAACAAGTAGGAATACACACTCTGCCATCACCAGTTATACACTCAAGACTCTTCATCGTTCTTCAAGTGGATTTGAAGCTAAGACCACAATGTCTGCAAACATTTTGGGCAGCAAAATAAAATCATATTTTCAATTTATTTTTAAAACTTACCCATATAGGTAGTAAAAAAATGCTAGAAGATAAAAAGCTAATTTGCACCATCCTTCCTTCTGACAATATGCTAGAATATCTGCATTCATGATGGTCGTAGGGTCATAGAGGCCTGGTCCGCTCATCACTGGTCTACTCATATACCTGTAATAAACACAGTCCATTAGCCATCCAGGAAAAGGAACAGAACTTCAGGACAGGAAGGAGGGTTTTGCTACTTGCTAGGAGAGATGCTCTACTTAGGGAGCAATTTTAGTTCTAGGTGGAATAACTTCCTTTTGCCATCTTAATGGTAAAGCTAGAGCCCCTAGGGAGCAGAACAGGACAAAGAACTTACACCTGGCCTCCTCTACACTATGAGAAACCCAGGAAAAACCAGAATCACTGTGAAAAGAAAGATTTTTTTCCTTTAACTTTTGACAGAATTTTAGACTTAAAGGTACAAGAACACTTCTCTTTACACTTGTTTCACCCTTCGCTTTCTCTAAATAAGTGTACTTGTTCCCCCCACCCCAGAACCATTTTAGAATCAGTTACAGACATAAGCCACTTTATTCCTAAGTACTTCACTATATATACTATATATACTTCACTAAAATTGAGGGCAATGAGGCAGAAAGTAAGGAGAGACAGGGAAGAGACACAAGCAACACTGAGGCTGTCCTTGCTCTCAACTCAATACAGAGAAGCTCTTAAAATCAGCCTTCACGTTCAAAAGACAGAACAAAAAAAAAAAAAAAAAATTTGAGGGCAATGAGATTTTGATATATGCATTAAAAACAAAACACTCTACACAGAACAGATATAACTTTTAGAAGTTATGAAATATGAACACCTTTTATAAACAAATTTAAAGTTATAAAGTAAATATGGAAAAACAAGTTAGACATACACTATTTTTTTAAAGTTAATTATCAACTTTATTTCACTATTTACAAGAAGCTGCAGTTCAGATAATTTGATGACTTGTGACAAATACATGTAAATAGGAAACCACCAGCACAAGATAGGAAGAATTCTGTCATTTCTAAAAAAGCTTCATTGTTCCCACAGGTAGTTCACTTCTCCTTCTCTTGGCTCCAGAAAACCACCAATAGCTTTTTCTTCCTCATTACTAATTTCCATATTTAAGGTTCTTATGTAAATGGAATAATACAATACAGACTCTGTAGCATCTAATTTCTTTCACTCAGCATATTAATTGTGAGATCATCTATATTAATCTGTCCCTTTTTAATACTGAATTATTTTTCTATTACTTTTTATTCATTCATTGTACATTTTGGTTTCATTCCAACTTTTGGACTGTGACTAAGGTGCTATGATATCTTTGCATTAAGTCTTCATAAAGCCTTAGGACTGGAATAGCTACACTGTCTACAGGGATAAGAGATGGGAAGTTTTTTTTTCAACAGTTTATTTTTCCATCATTTTGTGCATTTTTCCATCTCAGTTGTAATCCCCGGGGCTTCCCATCACCAAATCACCCATGTGCCATCACCAAAGTCCAGTGCACATCCCTCCCCCCCTCTGTTTTTGATCCCATTCCCCATTCCACCCCCATAAAATGTCTCTGGAATATAACTGTTCATTATTATTATTATTTTCTCGCCTCATCCATTATACTCCTGCCATGAGTGAAACCATTCAGTATTTTTCCTTTTCTTTCTGGCTTATTTCACTAAGCATGATCTTTTCCAGCTCCATACATGTTGCTGCAAAAGGCATGTGTTTCTTTTTTTGTTGTTGTTGCTGAGTAATATTCCATTATGTATATGTACCACATCTTTTTAATCCAGTCATCCACTTTTGGGCATTTGAGTTATTTCCATGTCTTTCCAATTGTGAATAAAGCAGCAGTAAGCATGGGGGTGCAGGTATCTTTTTGAGTCAGTGTTTTTGTGTCTTTTGGGTAGATACCTAGGAGTGGGATTGCTGGGTCATAGGGAAGCCCCATGTTTAGCAGTTTGAGGAACCTCCAAACAGTTTTCCATAGTGGTTATACTGTCTGCATTCCCGCCAGCAGTGCCGGAGAGCTCCTTTTTCGGGATGGGAAGTATTTTTATCATTCTAAGAAATGACCATTCTAACTGGCCAGTAGAGCTGCCTTTACATCCTTGTCAGCACTTGGAAATGTCAGTCCTTTTAATTTCAGCTATTCTAATGTGTACATTTCGATGCAAAGTTCAAAGACAGGCAAAATGAATCTAACAGAGGTCAGTGCTCATTAAGAATTGTGGAGGAAACAGACTGGGATAGGCACAGGGAGTCTTTGGGTGTAAGCAGCTGAAACTGCTGGTTATCATGATCAAGCTGGTGGGTCCCCTTATACTTATGAACACACTCGATGAGCTGTGTTTCATCCTTGCCACATATTACTGTAAGGCATTCCACTTCTTAAAAACACAACTTTTTATTGAATTAAGTAGCTCCATTAAAGACATTACAAGTTTCTTGTTCACTGACATGATTTTTAAAATAAATGCCAACTAATATTCAGTTTTAACGTTAACTAGCAATAAGATAACTGTATCACCTGCAGCAAAATCAACTTTAATTAGAAAAAGTGTTAAAAGTATATCTAAATATTACCTCCAAATATGATAGGCCAATAGCGGCATATTGAGACCCAGTGTGAGCCACTCTGCTGCACAAAGAAACATGACACAGAAGAAAGCATGGATGAGGTACTCGGGAAGTACAAGCTGGAAGAAAAACACGAACCAGTTATCAAGATGCCTTGGCATTATGTCAAATGCTAATTTGGAAAGTAGGTGGCAACCAAGTTTTCATGACAATCACTGTATTCTTAGAATCAAAGATAAAAGAAACTACTGAGTTTTATTTCCAAGTTTATTAACTTTTCATCAAAAGCTGGACAAGCAAACTGACCAGAAGCTGTGGGTTGCACTTAAGATATAACTTAAAATTTAAAACTCAGATTCTTAAAAAAGTAATAGGTTAAATTATAGAAAGTTACCACCCAGAAGGTTCACCAAGTTACTTGCTAACCACTCAGAATACTTTTTTCCCACCGTTCCACACTGATAAAAATACAAAAAACGAGGTATCCAATCACATGCAACATGATATAAAAAACCCACAAAAATAAAACTCCCCTTTATAAGTTTGCCCGTTATTGTCTTTAACAGAAACCAGGAATGCTACAAATACAATAATTAGCAAACCACGTCACATTACCACAAAAGTAACTTTTCACTGAGAAGCCAACAGCCAATAGTCTGAGCACAGTTGGGACGGGCGAGAACACTAATATGCACAGATGCAAACGATGTGTGCTTTCTGCAATGTAGGAGGGAAAGACTAAGTCCTAAATCACAGAACTGGAAGATCCATTTTTACATGGCTTCCTGCTCCTTAAGCCTGATTTCCAATGAGATGCTACAGACACAGCAGGCCAATAGAAACTCAGACCTCAAAAACAGTCAATATTTTGATAGTATTTCATGAGGAAAAAAATAATTTAAGGAAAAGGCTTTTTATAAAATGACCAAGATCCACAGCTTTATTTTAAATTATCCTTTCATCCTACAGAGTTCAGTCTAATGATTTTGTTAAATAAAAATACAAGATTTTTTTGTTATAATTTTTAACCAAAGAACTTCCTACAAAATCACAGCTGCAAAATCTGTTTCTCGGATGTCTATGTCATTCCAAATTTAAACTATATGGACTTATCATCATAAAATCTTCCTTGATAGGAAGCTATAGCTGTAAAAATTACATTATATATACTCAAGTCCATTTTCTAATGTTCCCAAAGTAGTATTTCCAATTTAAAGATATAGAGTAATATTTTTAATGAATACTATTTTAAATGAAATATTATTTAAATCTGTATTATATACCACTAGCCAGATATTTTACTTAAGCTTAAGCAACATAGTAAATAGCAAAATATACATCTGTATATGTGTATAAACTTGTATATAACAAGAACCTTTAGGCCAAAATTTATTTAAGACCAAACTGAAACATCTTACAGTTTCTACATAAGAAAATGTCTACTATAGAAAAGCTTTGAAACTCAATGACCAACAACCAGTAAAGAACGCATTTCATTAAAAATTCCATAAAAGGTCCCTCCCTGGTGGCGAAGGGGGTTAAAGTACAGCATTAAGAAGCTAAAGCCACTTCAGCATGAGTTCAATTCCCGCCCACCCCGGAGGGGACCCACATGGTGTGGCAGACCTCTCCTGGCCCACCCGCTGCTCTCCTCAGCAGTGTACTTCATCGATCTGCCTGTTCTGCTTCCCACTCTGTCTCTGGTGAAGCCTCTCACTGCCCCTGCACCTCTGGCCTGTACCCCAGTTCTGTATGCATAAATAAATAAATCTTTAACAAAAAAAAAAACAAAAAAACAAGTTCTATTAAAGTTGCCATTGATAATATTCATTTAAATTACATGATTTCCTTTAAAATATAGTAAACCCATTTCAGTTCCCTAAAAACCAACTGATATCTAACTAGAAATTATCACCCAAGCTTTAATATTACACTTATATAGATTGAGGTATGGGGAAAGTGATGTGAATGTATAAATAAGCCTAGTATGATCTAAATGTATAAGCCTAATGCTCTTAAACAAGATTTAGTAAGAATGAAATAAAGATAATCAGCAACTCTGCCAGCTCTAATATGAAATGTCACACACCCTCCCCTCGCCTCAAAAAAAAAAAGGAATGTATTAGCCACCTCAAAAATCAGCCCTCATTCTTTAAAAAAGAAATTTTTCCATAAGTGGCACAAAAAATTATTTCATTTAGGAACCAATATTTATACAAAAACTAATATCCAAAAAAAAAAAAAATACCTCATGCAAGTATGGCTGAAATAATAATATTTAAACATGCACATAATATTCTCCAGTTAAGGTTCACATTTAAGAAAATAATATTTGTCTTCCCCCATACTTTGGCAGAACTGTCAAAACAAATTTTAAATAGGGAAAACTGTCAGATGCACAGCTATTAAGCCAATTATCGGCACCCTATCTATAATGCAACTTTTGCTGGTATAAAAACTTCTGTCCAACATATTGTAGCATTAGGATGTCCTAGGCACATGTCTTTTCTAAGTGACAATTTCTTCCCATCAAGAAAAACCAGAAATCACAAATTAAAGGATAAACAGAAATTAGTTACTCTTAAATCTGTAGTAAATTAGGAAAATACAAGAACTTGATCTTAAAAATGCTGGCTGAGTTCAAACTCTGGTCTATCTTAGCTATGTGTATAAAGTGCTTTAACCTCACTAATCCTCAGTCTGTTCTCCTACCCATGAGAACAATACATCTACCTCTGAGGAGTGTCAAGAGGATTGAATGAAAAGACCCAGGTAAAGAGGTTTAACACCAATCCTGGCACCCAGGAAATTCCTCATCTGATTTCAACTAGTGTTATCCTCATCCATCAAACTACATGGGAAGCCAAATGAGATAGAAATGCTATTAATAAGAACTGCCAAAAGGAGACATTTCTGTGGTTTCTGGTAATAATTAGTTTCAACAATAGATTAAAATGTTTTACAGCGAACACTATCTTCCAATAACAAGGCAAAATCAGCTCATTATTTGTTTCATAAGAGCAGAGAAACAGCTGATAAGTTAACACTTTCGTACTGTATCAGTTCTTTAAAAACAAACTAGAAATCTATTCCACCACTCACATTTATCTGGAAACAATGATAAACAGCAAACTAATTTTACAGACCATTTTCCACATAAAATCCCTGCAGCACACTAATGTATTATCACTTTATACAATTATTTTAAAGATGAATGATTATATCCTATTTGTTGAAGATATACCCACTGCCTTTTTTGTTTGTTTTTACAGCCTTTCAGTTTCTAGTCAACCAGGAAAAGCAACCTAGAGGCTAAAAAAGAATCTTCCTAAATGAGTAAACAAAGTGAGGTTAAACATGTATTTTTAAAAAACCTAAATACAATGGAGCTACATTATAACTAAATCCATCACAGCTCAAAATTCCCAATAAGACAGCTCTGTTTTAGAAATATAAAGTGAATAGCTATTAGAAATAACTGTAGATAACTTGTACACAAATTGCTACCTACAAAATTGTGGCAGCATAGTACAAATATTGTAGCATTACTGCAATATTTCAGTCTAAGAGGAGAGCTAGCAACATAAAAGACCCTGAATACACATCAGCTAGAAGAGCAAATGAATTCCAAAACAGGCATAACCAAAGATAAAATCTGATATGAACTAAAAACCACTTCATACTAGCTCACAGTTAAGTCACAACACTGTAATAATCTCATCATCTATTAAAGTCATTTTATGTTAACCAACTTTCAAACACTGAACCAAATAATTTAATATAGACGTGCCTATGGCTATGACATCTTTTAGAAATGCATAAGCATTTAACAGCTTTCCCTACTTGACTGGGCCAGCAAGCAAACATTTGCATAAAATATGAAATTTCACAAAATCATAAACCTCAACAGGCATATGAACAAGCACACTGAACAGAACATTACAAAACAAATGCCCTAACCCTCCCCATAAAATGAATGTAGCATTAAAACATTAAACTAAAAAGCAGTACACACCTTTAACGCAATTTTGACTCTTTTAATCTTTTTGACCTTTTCAACTGTCTTTGGCCGACAATGTAAAAAGCAGATTGAAAGAATGTTAGTATGACAGCTGACAAGATCACCAGCAGATTAATAATAGTCAGAATAGTCAAGCATGACAGGAAAAAGAGCATTTTTTAAAAATCCTGCCTACTTCGAAAAGTATAAATATATCATGCTACTGAGAATACTGGCCATTTTCAAATGATATCAAGTTAAAAGCAAAAAAAATCTGAAAAATCCTATATTATAACTTACAGGATTCAGGGTATTACACTGGTCTATAGGATTCTTGTAATCGGTCTTCAGTTCATCAAATGCTATAATCTAAAATAAAATTAGAACAATTAGGACTTCTCACTTGAAAAAAGAGCATAAACAAGTCAGCCCCATCATCAAACAATAACTGAATAAAGTTAACAAAAGCAAAACTGTACCAACAGTTCATGCACCAATCTACAGTGGCCTGAGATGTACTAGAATCAGATGCATTATTACTAAAATGACCTGATACCACGGTGACAACTACCTTAATTTCCAATTTCTCAAGCCCCGTGGTTCCATTTATTTTTCTCTACCCTTTCCCCCACCCACAATTATTTACCCCAACCGCTTCTGATCCTGAAATACTCTCTTCCTTGCTGTAGGCTTCCCCATGTCCCTTGTATAGTAAAAACACCTGTGCACCTGCCCCATCTCCGCATGGCAGAGGGCTTTACCATGCTGCCAATATGGCGCTTCTCACCCTGGCGCAGCAGATTTATGTAAGGTCTGTGGCCCCACTAGACAGAGTGCCCCTCAGGGTGAGTGTCTGTAACCACCTGTGCACTGCTCAGTCATGATGTTCAGTGACACTAGAGAAGAACTCTCCAGCTTGTTTGCAAGTACACGCACCAAACAGATATATTTCAAAGTACTGCTTGGATTTGGAAACAGCAAGAAATGGTCTTGGAACAGAGGAACATTAAGGACCTCCACATACAGTAGAGCAGTTTCTGCTAACGACAAAAGGCCAGGAGAGGGCCCACCCTAACTCATGCTCCTGCTGTCAAGCAGAGTACTCTGGCCTGGGACCCTTCCACCCTTGGAAGCCAGGTTCTACACCCCAGGGACTATGTCCAGTTAGAAGGGAAGATTTTTCTAATTCTTCTACTTTCAAAGACATCTTGCTCTGAATCACCCAAAGGTGCCACACAGGCAAAAGCCTGTTCAGGGCCACCATAAAAGTGGTCAATCTGACCTCCTTTTGGGTCCTAAGCAGATTTCAAGTGTGTCGTTTCACTTGGCCACCATGCTAAAGACTGAGCAAGGTAAGCCCAGGTAAAGCCAGCTTCTGGTGGTACGAAGTGACAGTTACAAATGTGATAAAGGAGGAAAGACCTCATCCCCTTGAAGTGCAAGGCAAGAATGTTTTTGCCCACACTCTACAGAAATGTGGCTTTAACATTTAAATTCACTAAACACAATTTCAAAGTCTAAATGTACTAAAAATCAAAACAAGGGGACCCACCACTTCATGGTATGAACACAGAGGTGTCAAAGTAAGAAGCACAAGGAAACAAGTCTGTGGAGGAGCTATTTAAATTGCTACCACTGGTCAACCATGGGACAAGAAATCTAATCCATGCTTCCTCTGGTGAATTAAAAAATATAAAGAATACTATCTATATGTGAGACAGTGTTGCTCAATATTACTAGTAATCAGTGTAGTTACATATTTCTAGCTTTTACTATGCTGTTTGTTTTTTTTTTTTTACGTTAAAGGAAAAATCTTCCTAAAAGGATTTCCTTTAATTTCTAGTATTTTACAAAACTCACCAATCCACCCCCTCCCAAAAAAAGCAAAGCTTCAACTAAAACAGAAATAGAAGGAAAATAATTAAACATTCAAAATATAAACTCATGAGTGCAAGGATTTTTTTTTTGCTGTATTCATTGTTTTATATAAAATAGTGCCAGACATGACATCATTTGTGATATATTTCCAATGCACCCTAGTAATAAAGTTCATGACAAGGATCACAAATGCAACAATTACCTGCCTATGAAAAGACCCAGTTTAACAGCAGAGTACAAAATGCATGCTTTGAATCTAACATTTTCTTCAGGTGATTTCAAGGACTCAATGTCACTAATTGGGTTTCTGAACAATAAACTAGTTTTTTCAAAATTCTTCTGAAAAGATTCCTAAAGTGATAGTTTTTAAACCTTTTTCATTTACATGTTCAAATTTTCCACAAAAATGTAAAAACAACAAAACATTAATTTCTAAAGATATCAAACAACATGATTTCAGGACACCTTCAAATTTGATGCAAGATTTTAAGGAATAAGTTGTACATTTTTAGCATTTAAACAAATCTACACTGCCAACTCTGTTCTCCACAGACCATCAATCAAGTGAATTAGGAATAAGTTGGCAGATGTAACCATCAACATAGAAAGCAACCTCCATAACAAGGAGCAATGTCAGCAGGATTTCTGGAGTTTATGTATGATATCTCCAAATGAGTCTTCTGACATACTTAAACCTAAGAAAATAAAATGAAAGCTACATAGTTAATGGACAAATGAAACTATTTATTTAGAAATGTTTGTGAAAGGGTACAGCAATTCTCTGCACGCTTATGAAATCCCTAAGCATAAAAACATTCTACTGTAACTATGGATTTTTTAAAATTCTACAATAGAATTTATCATCTACTTCACTTGGACACTTCCATTTCAAAGCTGAAACTACCTTTTTACATATTTCAGGTTTTCCTAAAGCCAAAACCAACGTGGTTCAAGTTGCAAAATGTGAATAAGACAATCCTAAACTTTCTTCTAAGAATGCTCTTGAACCCAGAAAACAAAGAGCAACACCCCAATAGGAGTACTTAAATACACATCTAAAGATGGAAGGGAACCACCCACCTCAGTTCCATCCCAGGCCTATTAAGGGGCACTGTGGGGTTAGTTAGCATCCCAAAATACAGTATTTATTATTCTACCAAGCCAGAGCCCATCAAATACTCCTTAAATTCCTGGTTCCTGACAAGGATGTTCAGGGAGAAGTGAACTTCTGACACAGATTAACACCTACATAAACATTCCTTACCACACATTCTGTTGGATTCTAAATAATTATAAATGCAGTCTTTAACAAAAGGGAATGGACTTGTGTTGTAACTCTACTTTTGAGACTTACATTTTTTTTTTTTGCACAAGCCATTGCTGCTATTCAAATCTCTCGGTCCCCTTCCCCTATATTCCATGATAAATCCTTGTTATGAGCATGAATGAAACCTGAATGGAAAATGTACATCAGAGTAACCATGACCAATCATCCCCTTAAGCCCAATATTCCAAAATATACTAAAATATGGGCGGGGAGAAGCACACATGAGATGCATTTTTAATGAATGATTATTTCCAGAAGGCTCTCGATGCTGTTCATGCTGCTCTAGAGAAACAGGAACCCCTAACAATCTCTTCTACGACTAAGGCATAGGTAACATGCAGCATGATAGGAGTAAAGGGGGAAAAGCTGCCTTGGAGAATCTTAAAATTTCTGAGCATGTTCAAAGTCAAATTAGACATCCATCTATTAAATCAAGCTACCCAACTAACAGAGGTGGTCACTTGAGAAAGTGGCGAAGATTTAAGGGGAAAGTTCGGAGATGCCGTCAACAAAGTAATCAATCTACATCAAAGTTCACCACGAAACAAGAATCAAAAAAAAAAAGGAGAGGTGGAGTGGGTAGTCCGTTCGAAGAGCACCCAACAAGCAGAGCTGAAATTCCTCTAAAGTAGATGATAAGTATCTCGTTTTGGCTAGACGCCTGCAGACGCCAAAAAGAAAGGCAATTTGTATTAAATAATAATTCGGAAAACTTCCTTCCCGCGAAGTCCGTAGCATGCCCCTCGACGCTGACACCCTCCTGGGGGAAGTGGGGAGGGACCCTTGGGCGGACAGGGGGTCCCCGTGGGGTCCCCGCCGCGCTGTCCCGCAGGGCGCGCCTGGACCGCGGCCGCCCCACCCAGCGGGGGAGGAGTGGCGTTGCGAGCGGCCTGCGCAGGGACCCGGCGGGTGCATCCAACCGGCCGGCGCTTGCCTCGGTTCCTCAGAGACTGCAGGCAACGCCCCACGGACGGA